ACCACCGCTAATTGACACCAGTCGTGCGTTGCACGTCGCCTTTCGTAGACATGTCTAATTACTGGTGTTCGCGAAGATCGGATCGCGGAATCGGTAGCAGGTTTTGGCCTCGCACGTGTTGCATAGTATGCTAATTTCAAATAGAGAAACAGTATTCTTCGCCGTAATAATTAAATCAGGCGACTTCATTAAGGAAACAAGATACACGTACGGCCTTGATGCTTATTAAACTCAACAAGATTTATTGCGCTAATTAAAATCGTTTTTCATACACATTAATTCGTTCTTTCTAAGAAAAACAAGACTTCACTGTAATTTATTTAATATTCAGAATTAAAAAAACTTTATCAAATTAATTCGAGAATGTAGATAAACGTAATAAAATCTTGTTTTACAATGAACTTTTATCTTTCCATGAAATGGAAATTTTATTTATGGCTTAATTGTCAAGGTACATAACAGAAAATTACAGCCGACTGATCGCATCAGCTGGAATTTTTAGGCGCTTTATTCTCGTGCTTTTGCGCACCGAAATTAGCGAGCTCGACGCTTCGTCGGTGCGCCGCGGATCGATTAATTGAATTAACTCAATCAGAGCCGCAGACGCAACCACCGCGCGCGAATTGAGCGCAGCCTCGTCGAAAGTCGGGACCGATAACATGATAACCGAGAGCGCGTCGGCCGCTTCCGGTCGCCGAGGTAAAAGCAGGATCGATATCCGATCGCGCATAAATGTATCGGGCCGCCGAATCGCGTCACGCCTCGATTAACTGTTTCGCACGGCTCGCAATTTGTGCGCGAACGATTACGTTTACCACCCGCGGGATAATAGCAGAACGCACCGCGCGAATCGCGAGATTTTCAGACCTCTTTCTCTCTCTTTTTCTGCCCCTCTCTCCCCCGCAGCGGCAGCAACAACACAACGGCATTGCGCGTTGTTTCACTTGCGATATGCCGCGCTGTGTAATTACGATAATCCGCTGATGATATAATTTACGAGGCCGCATCGCTACCCGCGCATTTATCACACGAGGTAATTTCCTGCTTTATTATAATAATATCCGGGGTAATATGCCTCCGCTTGCGCGCCGAATACCTTCTTATTTTCGAGCACGCCGCACCGCTTCTCTTCGTTAACCGCCTCGTACCGCCTTAGCGCGACGTTAATTATTTTGCGTAGTTGCAGTGGTAATTTTGCGTTTTCGCACCGCCGCGCTTGACCGCGAGAAAGATTACCGACTGCATCAATTCGTTTAATTGCAACCGATAATTTGAAGATTTGCAGCGTTCGGGAAGATACGACACGCGTGCTTCGTGAGATTTCGTACGAGAATTAAAATATTTCATCTCTTGACTTCACCTTTTTGCCATCGAACGAAGAAATAATTCTGCTTCAATGGACCTTTCTAATGACTCATAACGAAGAATGTACGTTTGAATACACTCCTATATTAATTTTATAATAGTGGACCTCACTTTTGATATGGCTTTTTGATTGACTTTTATATTATAATTATGAATTATTTTAATGTTTTATTTATTACGACTTTTTTTATATTTTATTATATTCTTAATCTTTTAATTCTCTATTACGTTTATAATTTAGTGGCAAAAATGATTGAAGTCGAAACGTTCGAAACTCTTTACACACACACATTAGCGAAAGACTAGTTTTAAATTTTACTCCCTTGATGTTTAAATAAATTAGTTAAAAATTTTTACCTAATTATTTGTTTTATGTTGATCTCTTTACAATTATTATTATTTTGCGTTGCAATTTTAAACTTGACATTTGTTAAAGCAAAAAATGTAGTAAACTTTTTTTTAATGGTAACTTTAATTTTTTCCAACGGTTCTATTAAAAAATTATTTACAGAAGATTATATATCGTTGCATTATACATCTCACAACAAAGATTTGATACATTATACATATCTTCCTCTACTATCTCCGAAATTCAATCCAATTATAATTGACAATTTAATCGTAATAGAAAGATATAACTGCGTTGCTTCGTGCGCGAGATTTAACGATTTCGAGGTTTTTTACGGGTATCCGAACTGGTTAAAGCCAAGACTTATCTGCAGCGAAATGCTGCGTTCGAAACGACTCGCGAGATATTCGACGAAATAATATCCCGACGGTGCAGGGAGGGCGAAGGGGAGAGGAAAAGTGCCGGCGATGCAGGGTAAGCGGGCTCCAACCCCCATTCATCTTCGGCGCTCGTTCCGGCCGAGGATAACGTTATTTCTACCGTAATACTTCTGTCGGAGAATCGCCCAGCGGAAAAAGCAGTTCGGTATTGCAGCTGCTGGCGCACGCGTACTTCTCGGTTCCTCGACAAATGGCAATAACGACGTTAATAGCGCGGCGAATCGTGAAGGGAAGGGATAAAAGGAGATTTCGAGGGTCCTCCGTGGATGCGGACATAAACGGAGATGCGAAACTCTCCGTGATCCTACTGAATTATGATCGATGCGGTTTAACGATTAGCGAAGATCTTAATTCCAGGATCTTATATATGTTTCGCGTGCCTCACTTTTCAATTCTTAAAAGATAACGAAGAATAATGACACATTGAAAAATATAGGGATGGATTTAACATTTGTTTATATAATTTTCACCGTGTTGGTGTTAATAGAAATATCTGATATAAATTTTTAATATTATGATTTGAAACACGTGATAATTAAATTTATGCCATGTTGGTGTTTATGTCAACATCAACGCAGGGAGAATTATATTTAACACTCTTGGTGTTAAATCTATATCCATATTTTTTAAAGTGGATATTAAGAAATAAAAACAATGGTATTCGCGAAATAGTGAAGAGATTCTATGAATTAAGAATGAACGCTTGAGCTTTTTAGGATCTTCAACCTAAATCGAGAGCTTAACGCATTTACAGATAGCATTATGCTAAAATCAGTTAATAACATTTACATATTTTTTTTAATAATAAAGAGCGAGATTTTTAAATTTTATTATAATATAAATTATTCTTAACAGCGCTTTTATCCCGTCTTTTCTTAGAATTCATTAAAATATTACAAATACATAAATACTTTTATGAAGATTATAAAAATGATAAAGTTTATCTTATAAAAAGATTATAAAAATAGACGAAGGTATAAATACAAGGTATGTAAAAATATTCTGCACGAGACTATACATTATGAATAACCTAACTTGTGTTTAAAAAACGCATGCTATTTTAAGAAGACGAAGAGCGATCGATTTCTATCGATCGCTCTAATTGTCCTGAAATTGGCAAAGTGTAACGCACTTTCGTGATGATATCCGCAAATAAGTTGAAAGACAGATCAGACCGAACGAGATTCGAAAGATAGAGAATACACATCAGGAGAGCAGAATGAGAAATAATAAGTGCGCGCAATCGGCGAAGTGTAGCATAGTCGCGGTAGTAGACGTTGACGGGATTTCCCAGAGAAGTATACGACGATATACTCCCACGCCCCCATTCGACGAGCCCA